GTTTTTTGCTGTGGCTCAACAGCTTTCGAGGCACATCTTCAGAAGGATAATACCTAGGCATTTTGTGCAGTTTAACCACCCGGAGAACCACCATTCATGTCCCCACCAACTGGTTTTGTGACAGTCACAAGAACCTTCTCCTTTTTCTTTTCAATCCTGGATTTAGTGGCCCCGTATTTCCTCTTGTAAATGGCCTTCCTGGAATACCTGGCAGACCGGGAGTATCTGCTGATGCCCCAGATTAGGATGGGTTTCGGCTGCAAAGGGACTTCCCCTTCTTGGGCTTTTTAGCCTTGGGGTCACCCTGTTTAACCTTGCCACTGGCATCAGCCTTCTTGGCTTCAGGTTTCTTCTCCTTAGTATCCTGCTTTGCAGCTTTATCACCTGCCATCGTGTATAGTGGGAAAGAGAACTAAATTTGGAGCTAGACACTTTAAGTCCTGGTCCTGGTGGCTTGAAAAACACGCCGGGCACATGTGTGTGCATGCCCAAAATCCCTGGAGGAGAATGGAGGAGAAGGGATTGCAGCGCGATTTCTCCCGCAAAGGGATGATTCCTTGCTTTTTTTTTTTTCTCTCTCTGTCTCTCTCCAGCGGATGCACATTTCCTATTGCAAAAATCTCAAAAAAAAAAGTTTTAGAGGGACAGAGTGAGTGAGAGAGACAGAAAGAGAGAGAGAAAGCAAGCAGCCAGGTCTGGGACTCGAACCATGGTCAACTGTGTGGTAGTCCAGCATCCCTAACCACCACACCACCTACTGGCCCTCAAAAAAAAATTTTTAAACTAAATAAATAAATACCTTGGGGCTAGACAGTGGTGCAGCAGTAAAATGCAATGTCCTGCAAGGCTGACCCATGTGGGAAGGTTCCCAGTTCGTGACTGGAGACCTCCCTAGTCTCCTGGGCACAATTGTTGGTGATCAGGAGTTGGCTAAGTTGGGGGTGAATCCTAACACCAAGACCTTGTTAGGGCTGCTGCCTCTCTGTCCTTCTCGTTCATGGAAGAAATCAACTTTAAAATAAGTTTAAAATCTGGAGGAAAAAAAGGAAGGGAGGGAAGGAGAGAATGAATTCTAGGACCTCACTTGCAATTTTTTCTTGCTCAAGGACACTAAATGGTGTCTGATTGTAAGATTTGTTTTTTCCGGGACCAGCAGTTAGCGTAATGGCTATGTCGCTGGACTCCCATGTAGCCAACTGCAGTTTGAGTCCCGGACCCGGCAGCTTAAACTCACACCAGGCGCGTGTGTGTGCGTGCCCAAGATCCCGAGAGGAGAATGGAGGAGAAGGGATTGTGGTGTGACCATCCCCCCTGGGGGGGTGATTTTTCGCTTTCTGGCAAGTGCACGTGTCCTATAGCAAAAACCTCTCCAAGGGGAAAAATATTTTATTTTTTCAATACTTTCCTGCATTTTTAATGGCCAGAAGGGTCTATAGGCTTGACTCTTAGCCTTAAGTAGAGCTGGCCTTTACTCTTTCACTTCCGCTGGACCGATGTCCTCTGGGAATGCAACTTGTACTCCCTGTCTCTGCCACCATTTGCTGGGCTGTTTCATCCATTCTAAATGGTTCAAATTTTCTCTCTCCTTTCAGGCCCAGTAAAAATAAGATTCCTTTCATAGTCTTTCTGATCTATTTCTGCAGAAAGAACTCTGTACCTTTTTCAAGTTTCTCTAGTATTTATATCTTAAACTGCTCTTCTGACACCTATTCGCTGTCTTGTTTTATTTGCTTTTCATGTGCATATGTCTTATCTTCTCAACTAGATTATGAACTTCTTCGGGGCAGGGACTGGGTCATATTTATCTTTGTGTCTCTCCCAAGGCACTTAATAAATGCTTAATAAGTGTCAATTTAAACCACCTCACTTTTATAGTCTTTCCAACGCACTTTCTCAGCCATTATCTCATTTGATCATTACATCAACACCATGAGATTGGAGGAGCTAGAAATATGTTATTTCCTCCTTTTGACAGATAAGGAAACTGAACCCCAAGGTCACAAAGCTTATTAGAAACAGAGATGGAACAGATGATTGCTATGAGGGTCTGATCCAATTTGACTGCCCTTCTCTCCTCCTGCTTCCTGCACCCTTCATCACCACCACCCCCCCATTTCCCAAGTACTTCACAGGCGTTTAGCTGAAGCTTTGTAATATCATATTAGAGAACTGGGAGACAACATTTCAGTAGATTTCTGATCAGCTCTGAGTCACCAAAGCATGCTTGCTATTTTGTTCCAAGCGCTATTTGTTAGGGACATTATGCCTGATATTTAATGATGCTGCACTACAGAGTTGAGGAAGCAGAAATGATTTTTGAAAGCCTCAGAAAATGACAGCACTCTGACATAAAACAGGAAAGGTGGCAGCTGATGAGCTAATCAAGGATATACAATTTCTGCACTGGACCACACATGCCTCTACGTATACTAGCAGAATTCTCTAGATGGGCTGAAAGGATAAGGTAAATGGTGAAACTCCATCCCCACCACCCTAGGAGATCAGCTTCTTCTCTGACGCAAGAGATTTGATAACCATGGGGCAGATTATTTAGCATCAAATATTTTATTTATTTAAAAAATAATCATTTACCGGCCAGTAGGTGGTATGAAGCTAAGGCAGCTGGATTCCATAGGGACGACTCTGCGGTTGGTGACTTGAAAAACACACAAGGGGCCAGTGCCAGCATGCCCCAAATCCCAGAGAATGGAGAAGGGACTGCTGCAAGGCCATGCCCCTGGACAGGGGTGATTGCTCACTTTCCCTCTTTCTGGAGAGCATGCGCACCCCATGACAAAACGAAAAATAATAATTTGCCTCCAGACTAGACACCAGGTAACTTTGCAAAGAAGAGGATGTGGTGGAGTGAGGGTTGGATTTAGGGTGACAGAGGTGAATGAAGGTGAGAGACAAAGGGGAGGCAGAGGCACCTCAGAGGAAATTCCAGATCAGAGGGCAGTGACCAGCCGCCAGGACTGGACTGGGCAGCGCCTTGTGGCGGGGCTCGGTGTGGACGGCAGGCGTGGCAGGTTCGAGGGCCACTGGGGCAAGTTTGGACTCTGCAAGCGGCGACCTGGACTTGAACCTATGCGTGCCTCAGTTTTCCTCCTCTGTAAAATGGGTATGAGAGTGCCGGTCTCCCCGCACTCTGTAAGAACTATGCCGGGGAGGCAGGCAAAACACCTGGCGTAATGTCAGACTCATCAGAGGCTTTCAAGAAATGGTAGCAATCAGGACCAGCAGTTAGCCTAATGGCTATGTCGCTGGACTCCCACGTAGTCAACCACTGTTCACGTCCCGGACCCGGTGGCTTAAAACTCACACCGGGCGCGTGTGTGTGCGTGCCCAAGATCCCGAGAGGAGAATGGAGAAGGGATTGCGGGGTGGCCATCCCCTCTTGGGGGATTTCTCGCTTTCTGTCTCTCTGTCTGGCAAGCAAAAACCTCTCCAAAAAATAAAGAAATGGTAGCAATGACTCCGCTCCTCTCTACAGGTGCCCTGAACGGGAGGGGGGGGTACCAAGAAGGAACAAAGCAGCCTGTCCAAGACCGCGTTCTTGCCCAGCCCGGCCCCACCGCCGGGTTCGCGGCCGTTGGGACCCAGGGCGCGCTCCCAGCGAGGGGCGGGGCCTGCCGTTCCCGCCTGGCGTGCGGCCCCGCCCCCCACGCGGCCTCTGGTGCACTTTAGGCACCTTCCCCTCCCCGGGCCTTCCCGCGCGGTCCTCCCGGACTTCGCGTCCCTCAACCCCTGCGCGGGGCTCGAGCGAGAGGTTCCGGAACCTGGGCGCTGGCAGGATCCCGGGTGTAGACGCTGTCCGCCACTCCGCCCCAGGGCCGCTCGGCCGTGCCCCGGGAGCTTCCGCGGCCACGGAGTGTGCAGGTTTGCTTTGAGGG